TCAGGCCTCTGACAGGATCCTATCTTCCTCTCAAGATGGCGAGGTTTCCCCGTCCAAGCAGGTAGGTAGCTCCGGCAGGGACGTAGCCCGCGTGGGTGCTTCCCTGTGAAGGGTACCCCTGTCTGCGGCCCCCCAGCAGTTTCTTCTGGTGTTCGCTGTCTCCCAGCTTGCCGATAAACACTCACAGCTCAAGACCATCAGCTGCTCTCTCTTTCTGCTTCGGGAGAGGGCTCAGAATCCGCCCATCTATTCTTCCGCCATCTTACCTCCTCCAAAACTTAGGAATTTTTACTATTGATCATAGTGTTTAAATTGCACAATATATTATGATTGATTTTTTTCTCTAAAAGTTAATTTTTGACCTGCATAGAAGTTGGCTCCCTCCTAAAAAATAGTTTCTTTAATCCTATCGTAAATTTGTTTCTACCACTTAGGAGCTAATTAGGTTGTAGGTTGAAGAAAACTTGGTTACCCATTGCCTTATATCTATGGTGAACTAAGTGGTTGGGGGCAATTGCTACTTAAATCTACTATTTAGCCGAGACTGGTTTGGCTCAGTGGATAGAGTGTCGGCCTCCAGACTTAAAGGTCCCAGGTTCGATTCCAGTCAAGGGCGTGTACCGTGGTTGTGGGCACATCCTCAGTAGGAGGTGTGCAGGAGGCAGCTGATTGATGTCTCTCTCTCATCAATGTTTCTAACTCTCTATCCCTCTCCTTCTCTGTAAAAAATCAATAAAATATATTTTAAAAATAAATCTACCATTTAGCCGAAACCGGTTTGGCTCAATGGATAAAGCGTCGGCCTGCGGACTGACAGGTCCTGAGTTAAATTCCGGTCAAGGGCATGTATTTTGGTTGCGGGCACATCCCCAGTAGGGGGTGTGCAAGAGGCAGCTGATCAATGTTTCTCTCTCATCGATGTTTCTAACTCTCTATCCCTCTTTCTTCCTCTCTGTAAAAAATCAATAATATATATATATTTTAAATCTACCATTTAAATCAGACTCCATTTTAAGAAAGTCTTATTTGTTTTTACTTTAAAAGGTTTGCTTAGGGCTGAAATGACTCTTCAAACCTGGAATAAACTAAAAGTCAATGCCTTTTAATGTTAAAATAATTATTCCTAAACCAAGACGTACATGCTCTATTATAAATTCGCACAGCCAACACTTAACTGAGTTTGTACTATGTACTATACTAACTGGCCAAGCTATGAGAGTTGTGAAGGGTGTGTCTGAGGACTTTACAAATTACTGCATTTGCAGAAAATATAACACATAATTTCATTATAAAATGCTGAACAAAGAACTATTATTTCAGTCATGTTGAATCATTGAAATATGAATTGGCAGGTTTTTTGTGACTGTTCCAGTACCCACCTCCTACCTATTTAAGTCTAAAATTTCTGCCTGCAAACTGGTACCTTTGCTATTAGCTCATTCTTTATTGCCATTTCATTTAAATTTACCTTATGTATTTACCCATCTCCCCATCTGATATGTGTCAACTCTACATCAACAACCCTGAGTTGTTTCTTTCCCCTACTTACCTTTTTTTTCTGCCCAGGTGTGTTTACTTGCTCAGATACTTCACCACACAAATCAGCCTTGTAGTGCAGCTTTCAGGTGTCTGTGTCTGCAAATTTATAACCATTTTGGATGATTCTCTACCCTAGGTATAATCAGCACAATATATTATATATTGTTCCTTTGTCTTCTTTTTTTTATAACTTCCCTTGGTTTCCTTACCACTTTTTCTGCCTTACTGTTTTAGTTTATTCTTAACTAGTTGTACCCGGCCATGCATAGCTGTGGCTCAGTCTGGTTAAATGGAAAGGAAAGAAAAGAAAAAGCATACGTTTCTAATATGTTTAATTTCACAATGCTTGTGAGTATACAATATTTTTTTGTTGCTCCATTGTCTGTGCAGATATTGAGATTTTATTGAAGAATACAGTATATAATATTAGGTACATATACAAAATATGTGTTAATCGACTATGTTATTGGTTAGGCTTCAGGTCAGCAGTAGGCTATTAGTAGTTAAGTTTTGGGGAGTAAAATTTACACATGGATTTTCCCACCCGAAACTAATATAAAATAGTTTTCAATTATAGTTGAAAAATAACGAAGTTATTTATGGATTTTTAACTGCATGAGGTGTTGTTGCCCCTCACCCCCAAAGTTGTTCAAGGGTCAACTGTTCTTTCAAAATTTATTTTATGAATTCCTCTTTGACCCATATATTATTTAGAGTTGTGTTGTTTAATTTCCAAGTGTTTGGATATTTTTCTTGGTTGATTTCTAGTTTGATTCCATTATGATTGGAGTACATACTCTGTATGATTTCATTTCTTTCATATTTGTTCAGGTTTGTTTTATGAATGAGGATATGGTCTTTCTTAGTGAATATTTCTTGGGCATCTGAAAGTTATGTTTTCTGCTGTTGGGAGGAGTGAACTATAAATGATAATTAGTTGCTGTTGTATTTTTAGATCTGCATTTAAAATTTTTTTCTTCCTTTATCTTTTGTCTTCAGAAATTAAATATTGTGTATACTATTTTATTTGGAATTTGCTCAGTTTCTTGAGTGGTTTATATCTTTTGTCAAATTTGTGAAGTTTTAAACCTTTATTTTTCAGATAACATTTTCAATTCCATTCTCTGTTTTCCTCTCTAATATATCATCCTCTGATGTTATGAATGCTACCTCTTTTATTGCTGTCCTCCAGAGTCCTTGAGATTTATTTTCACTTTTTGTACCTATTTTCTCTTTACTGCTCTGTAAATTTTGTTGATCTAGCTTCAAGCTCACTGATTCTATTCTTTGTCATCTCCCTAGTGTAAAACAATTCATGTGAGCTTTTTCAGTTATTTTATTTTTTCGTTCTATAGTTTCCATTTGGTTACTTTTCATAACTTTTATTTCTTTGATGAGATTTTTCATTTGTTTACAGAGGATTTATAATTACTGTTAGAGCATTTTTTGATAGTTGCTCTAAAATTCTTTTCAGATAATTTCAACATCAGATACTTCTCAATGTTAGCATCGGTAGACTGTCTTTTCTCTTGTGAGTTGATATTTCTCTGGTTCTTGATATGACAGGTAACTTTCAATTCTATTCTGGATATTTTGTCTGTTATGTTGGGAGATCTGAGTCCCATTTAATTTTTTTTCATCAAGCAGTCCTTTTGTTGAGGTTTAGTGCAAGGGTTGGGTGCATTTGCATGTTCAGCTTCCCATCATACCCTGTTCATACCATCCCAGCAAAAGTGGAGCACTTGAATTCAGAGTGTCTCAGTGAAGATGAATGGTATAGAAGTTTAGCTCCACTTCTACCTTGCTAACTCCTTCCTCATGTAAGAGGGGCTTTGTGTGCCATACCACTTTATTGCCTCTAAATGGGAATATAAGCTTAGCTCCCAGCTCAGCCCCCAAGTGCCCAGAACAAGGGAAAGTAGATGACTAACTCATACTGCTTACTTGTTGCAGGGTACAGGCAGAATTTCAGTTTCTTACTGAGCCTTATCTATTGTACATAAGAGAAGGAAGGAAGCAGAATATTAACTACTCTGCCTCATATTGCTTTATTCACCCTCATTGATGCTGGGTTGGTATGGAAGCTTAGCTCTCTACTGGGCCTCACTGACACAGGCTCTGGGAGAAGAGGGACAGAGTGCTAACTAGCCCTACCTCATTAAGTCTTGGCTTTTCGAGTCGGTGGAGAGGTTAAGCTTTCCAGTGAGCCTTGCTGACACCAAGGGTGATAGGAATTGGAGTCCTTACTAGCCCATAATTTCATTATCTTTTTCTGTCTCAATGATGCCTGGTGGATAAAGAGGTTAGCTCCCCACTGGGTCCCACTGACACTCAAGACAAAGGTTGATGATTAACAGTACTTAATGCTGTCTCACTCTTATTAAGCCTTGGTTACTGCTGGGTGGGAATTTTGGTTCAGTTTGTCACTGTGCTGAGATGACAGTAGCCTGGTAGAATTGAACATTGCCTGCCTCTGCTGGGCATGGAATTGGTAATTATCTCTCCAACCCACCCTGCTGACACTTGCCCCAGTAGAGGAATCAGAACATTGTCTGGTTCCACTCATCAGAGGATTAGTGCATGCTCTCCCTTTTGGTAGCTTTAGCTCAGCCTTTTTTATATCATCTGGTAGGAGAATGGAAATATTGCTTGGTTCTCTGCCTAGTGAAGGATGGAAGCCTGGGTGCCTACTCAGATTTGAAGATACTGTTTAGAGCTGGAATGGATCACCTTGACGGAGTCCCATCTCTTTGACTACACCAATGTAAAATTGATGTATCATCATGTTGAGCTGAAGGGGGAGGACTTTAGCCATTCTTAATGAGATTTAGTAGATTTTTAGAATAAATATGTATTTACTGTATTTCCTTAGGGTAATTTCCATACTTTGAATAGTTGTTTTTAAAATAATCTTTACTGGTTTGATTTTTTGGGGGGAAGCAGGTCTGAGAAATTCCTCATGTACTATTTTCTTCACTAAGTCCTCTATGTCATCCATTTAAGATCATACTTTTTGAAAGTATGATCATACTGCATTCTTTTTTTTTTAGCTCAATCATAACTCCTATGATGATATATCATTAGCTAGACAACCTGATAAATAAATGGAACCTTGAATTAGAGGATCAAGAGAAGCACTTTCTTCACCATACCACCCAGGTCAATGCTTGGGACTGTACATTGATTGAGAGTGGTGGAAATGTTAGAAGATATTCTCATTAATCTAATACCTGCATTAGACAAGTATTTTCAGATGAACACAAGAGACTAGACCAATGTTTAGTGATTCATTTTCTATTTGAATATGTTATCAATTTACAAACATTTTTCTTACGTAATAAGTGCCCTGAATTAGGAACACTTTCATATTTGAAGCATATAAAGAAAATTAATACTGCTTTAAAATTATAATATAAATTTAAATACTTATATTATTATATTCTTATTTCCTTTATAGATTACTGTTTCACATGGAGAAATGGAAAAGTGAAATTGGATAAAAAAAAAAAAGGTAGAATCTTATATTCCCTAGGTTGACAAGTTAAAGATTTATCTCTTTAGTGTTTTTTTCTAATTGTAGTTGATTACAATGTACTTTGTCACTCCAAATTCCTTTCACCAGCCCATCTATTGACTAATTTTTTTTCCAGGCTAGAAAATGAATCAGATTTTGTCCTGTCGCAGCAGAAGGAAATAGAAGATCGGTCCCTTTAGAGGAGTCTTTGAAGGACCAGAGTAGTTCTGTTTATCAGAAATATGAAGACGGGGAGCATGCGAGGACGTAAGTAATTGAGTAAAGATAAGGAATGGGGCAAGGCTCAGCTACTTAAAAAGGGAAAAATAATTGAAAGGCCAGGAATAAAATTTGGTAGAAGAGGACAACTTCTTGTGCTTGCCATTTATCAGCTTATTTGACTATTTTGTTTGTTTACCTGTTTAGGATTCTTAAAAATAAATTCTGGCAATTTTGTTGTACAGCATTTTATAGACTTATTCATTTCAAGCTTAGTGCAAGCTCTCCCTTCTGGTAGCATGCCTGTGTCTTTTCCTTCCCTCTCCTCTTACTGCACAGGCATGCATCTCCTAAATGCTAAAGAACCCCCACAAGACTTGCAACCAGGGGAGCAATGGGCAGCAGCAGCTTGTGCTGGGCTAACCCCCTGAACCTATCTCCAAGACTCCATTTTCTCTGACTTTTCAGTGAGCCAAAGCCCTGCCTAGTCTCTCACCTGTTGTTTCTTCTATCCTAAGCCCTTCCTTGTTTCACTGTCAGAAACTTTAATAAACATATTCTCAAAATTTAAACATTTCCAGCTTAAATATGATCACTGTAAAGTTTTTATATTTGTGAACTTTGTTCTTAAATTATAAATATAAATTTTATGGCTGTGTTGTCATAGTATTGTAGAATATTTATAGTCTGATATTTATATTGACTTCCTTTTTTACTTTTTCATTGAATTTATTGGGATGATGTTGGTTAATAAAATTATATACAGGTGTATAATTCTATAATAAATCATCTGTATATTGTATTGTTTGTGCACTCCCTCCTTCCATTACCATTTATTCCCCCCTTTACCTCTTCTATCTTTCTCCGGTTATCTATATTGACTCTTAAAATCAATGTTCATGCAATTGCTTCATTGATAAAGTATTTGATATTTTAAAGGTAATTTGTTAATCTGGGGGCAAACTGCGTAGCTTTAAAAATTGAATGGTTTTGTCAATGTCTTGGTCTGAATATGTTTTACCAGTATTTGTCTTGGGCTGGATATATTTCATTTGTGTGAAATGCAAGCTATGCCTTCAATTGGTATATTGCCAATGTTCCCACAGTAACTTATCCCTCTGGAACTGAGAGAAAATTAAGCCAAATTATATAGTATTCTTAGAAGAATTTGTATGAATGTTCTACGTAAACTAGATTGAGATTAAATTGGACTTATTTGATCAATGGCTTATTAGTGAGATAATACTAAGCTTATTTTTAAGAGTTTTGAAATTAACATTTTTATATGTTCATTAAATGTTTAGCTAATCTGCATGGACCCTTAATCTGTTTTTGCATTTGTATTTCAGTTTTTGTGAATCCTAACATTCTGTCATTTTTTCTTTGAAACATATAGAATTGTATTTTTGACCAAGATATCCTAACTGCAGTTTGAAGAAATAATTGAAACATTAGTGTTTTTTTTCTAATTTTTAAAAAATATATTTTATTGATTTTTTACAGAGAGGAAAGGAGAGGGTTAGAGAGTTAGAAACATCGATGAGAGAGAATCATCGATCAGCTGCCTCTTGCACACCTCCTACTGGGGATGTGCCCGCAACCCAGGTACATGCCCTTAACCGGAATCGAACCCGGGACCTTTCAGTCCACAGGCTGATGCTCTATCCACTGAGCCAAACCAGTTTCGGCTAATTGTTTTTATGTAATTAGATTTATAATGTGGTAGAGTTTGTACTAGAATCTTCAACAATCTAGGCAACCAATTATCTATAAGTATTTGGGACAGAAAGACAGTACATACTTATCAATAAATCTAATTGGTTTATTAATTTTTATAAACATTAAGGTTGAAAAACCCTCTGGTCACTTTATTTATTTATTTTTTTAAATATATTTTATTGATTTTGTACAGAGAGGAAGGGGAGAGATAGAGAGTTAAAAACATCGATGAGAGAGAGAGTCATCGAACAGCTGCCTCTTGCACACCCCCTACTGGGGATATGCCCGCAACCAAGGTACATGCCCTTAACGGGAATCGAACCTGGGACCCTTCAGTCCCCAAGCCGACACTCTATCCATTAAGCCAAACCAGTCTCGGCCTGGTCACTTTTATTCACTTAAATATACGTTGACTAACTTGTGTGTGTGTGTGTGTGTGTGTGTGTGTGTGTGTGTGTAAATAGTTTGGATGGAAATCATAAAAATAGTCAACTATTGATAATTTGTTCTGAACTTAGCAAATTTATCTTCCTTTGATTATTGTGAGTATTATTTCTTGAAACATCTTTTGTTGGAAGATGGGACATATTTATATAAGATTTTACTTTGAAATTTTATGTATTCAAAGTCATTGAAATCATATCTGCACTTACTGAATACTACTAAACACCAAATAACTCTTAATATGTCACCCAAAAGAATTCCTTTGTTTCAGAGCTCCTTTGCCTCAGAACATTAGTAAGAGTGTGAATATGTGACTGTAAAAATGGCAAAGTGGGTAAAAGCCTTCACCTATGGAGTCTTTTTAGTATATGGTAATAATAAGGTCATGAATACTGCATCCATAAAAATGTGCCATTAGGCATAACTGAGACCCTCTGAGAAGGTAGGGAAATTGGGGCAAATCCAGTTGGCAGTATCATTGTTGTATGTTAGTAATGATACATCAGTGGAGAAAGCATTTGTTGCTTGTTAATCCCTTTACTTTACTTGCTTTTTTAGTTATAAATTAGCAGAAAATATGGATGCTCAGTTGAAACAAATGGTACAGGATCTCAAGAATGTTATTGAACATCCTATCTAATAACAGAGTAATATGCAAATTGACCATCACTCCAATACACAATATGGCTGCCCTATGTGGACACAAGATGGCTGCCACAAGATGGCAACCAGGGGAGGATAGTTGAGAGGGACCAGGTCTGCAAAGGAGGACAGTTTTGGGTGATCAGGTCAGCAGGGAAGGGCAGTTGGGAGGGACCAGCCCTACAAGGGAGGGCAATTGAGGGTAATCAAGCCTGGAGGGGAGGGCAGTTAGGGGCAATCAGGCCAGCAGTGGGGGGCAGTTAGGCATCAATCAGGCTGGCAGAGGAGTGGTTAGGGGGTGATCAGGCTGGTAGGCAGCACCGGGCCTCTAGTCTGAATGTATATTTGAAAAAACCTGCTGACACTACTGACCTAGTGTATTAACTGCTTTATGTACTTAGGCAACCAAGATTTAGTATGAAATTAGTATTCTATGGTTCCTTTAGCTTAGGGATGTCGAACTCAATCAGAGAAGGGGCCAAAATCTAAAATCCAGCCTAAATCTCGGGCCTAATGGTTTACTGAACAGTCATAAACTGTCATTGTGATGGAAACGCAGTGGAGTGCAGTGATGACAGCGCGGTGCGGGCCACATTGCAAGGCCTGGCGGGACGGATTTGGCCCACGGGCCTTGTGTTTGACACATGTGCTTTAGCTAGTCACCTTCTCCTGTCCTCTCTAGTTCTCCTTATCTGCCTCTAGAGTAGGGGTGTCGAACTCAATCAGAGAAGGGGCCAAAATCTAAAATCCAGCCTAAATCGCGGGCCGAATGGTTTACTGAACAGTCATAAACTGTCATTGTGATGGAAACGCAGCGGAGTGCAGTGATGACAGCGCGGTGCGGGCCACATTGCAAGGCCTGGCGGGACGGATTTGGCCCGCGGGACTTGTGTTTGACACATGTGCTCTAGAGATATGAAGCTTTTGGGTATACTTAATGGGACAGGAAATATTTAAGGGCAGATAAGGTTGAGAGTTCTTTGTGATTATCCCAATAGAGTAAAAATATGACTTACCTCCCTAAATTTTCAGGGTTTTCTTCCTGTCCTTCACATAACTAAAATCTGTCCCTGTACTTATTTTCCTGTTCACTTACTCATTAGCTAATTCATTCTTTCTTTTATATATTTATCTACATATTCATATAAATGTGAGAATAGATGTTTGAATCTGTTAAATCTATCCAAGTAATCTTATAATTAGGTTATACCTTAAAAGTTTGATAAGTAAACTACGTGAAACTTAAAATATATTTTTTCTATAAAAACTTTGTTAAATATGGTCATTAGGTTTCCACCAGTCTCTACTTAACTCATAATATAAATGCATTATAGCATGGGAAAATACAGTCAAAGCTCCAATTAAATAGTTGAGAAGTTTTGAATTAATTTGGCAATAAAAAGGATTATTTTTCCCCTTTATCTATACTCTACAATTTAGGGGTGTTGAACTCAATCAGAGAAGGGGCCAAAATCTAAAATCCAGCCTAAATCGCGGGCCGAATGGTTTACTGAACAGTCATAAACTGTCATTATGATGGAAACGCAGCAGAGTGCAGTGATGACAGCGCGGTGCGGGCCACATTGCAAGGCCTGGCGGGACAGATTTGGCCCGCGGGCCTTGTGTTTGACACATGTGCTCTACATAAAGAGCTTATTTCCTCTACCTTTCCGGCTTGTCTTAGCAGCTAAAAGGAGTCCTTTTTATTTGATGCCACCCCATGGCAGTAATGATAAGAGGAATCATCGACTGTGAGAGCTTCCACTGTACTTTCTATCAGTTTATTTTAATTAGGAGTGAAGCCAGGATTTGGGTAGGTGAGTATGAAAGACATATGTCTAGTAATTATTTCTTTAGTATGCTCTTTGTCCAATTACATACAGACACTTCTTTATCTACAAACATATTACTAGCTTTTTTAATTATGAAGAGATAGCATGTTGTATTGAAAAAGCACAAGAATTTCATTTAAGTCACTTAATCTCTTTGGGTCTTGGGTCCTTCTTTTGCAAAATGTCAAGAGTGGACAAAATAATCTTATAAAAATTATGCCATTCTTTACTTCAGTTGAATCTAAAGTTGAACAAAGGCAAAAATAAATTAGACTGATATTATCCATGCTACCATCTCCCTGAGTCCATCTAGATGATTAAGAGTTGACATAACATAGGTTTTCTTTTTAGTGAAATATTAGATCACTATTGTGATTCCAAAATTCAAAATTGTTCTGCTGTAATAGAGTTTTAATACACAGATAAGTATATGCAGATTTAGGCACAAAACAGAGCTGATATATAGTCTCTGTGTTAAATTAATGTGTTCAGAGTAAGTAAAAGGAAACTTCAATTCTATCCTTATCCTTTTTCTCTACTTAGCCTTGGATTAGTTTAGTTTAGTTTAGTTTAGTTTAGTTTAGTTTAGTTTAGTTTAGTTTAGTTTAGTTTAATAGTGGGGAGTAAATGGTTTGAGTCTTTTGTTTTTCCTAGCCATGGAGATTGAGGTGTTTATATAATTACTGCTTTATAACAGGATAAAAGAAGTGAAAGATCAGCAATAATTCATCTCTTTTCTCAGATAGCATAAATCTTTAGACAGTAAGCACAGAACACATTTGTTGAACAATAATATTTTGTAGATAATTTATTCTAACCAGCTCAACAAAGCTTCATTACTATGGGCCATACACCAGGGTAGAAAATAGCAACTTAAATCACAGTGATGAGATTTACCTCTTGATTTTGATTTTTCTTAGGGGGAGATTGGAGAGACTTCCTAATAGCTAAATTTTTTATTAAGCAAGTCCTTATTATGGTGTATGATATTCAGTCACATTCACTTATAAAAACTCATTGTTCCTACTACAAATTATATTTGTTTGTTATACTAGAATACTCTAAATTTGCTGTTGTCGATACATATACTAGTCTTTTAAGTGTGAAAACATTTTCATTTTCTCTTAATTTTAATATTATCCTGGACTTTGCTAGAAAATTCATCAAAAGTGTTCTAAAATTTTTTAAATGTTTAGTATTTTTATTGCAAAGTTAATACACATACTTTTTTAATATATTAAGCTTAGAAAATATGGAAATCTATAAAGAAAATTAAATCACCTGTATTACTAGTACTCTGCTAATATATTGGTTTATTTATTTTTCTTTTTTCCCATTTTGTACACTGTTTTAGTTATTTTTTATTTTTCTTTTTTTCCTTTATTGATTAAGGTATTGCAAATGTGTCCTTATTCCCCTATTGTCCCTCCATCCTTCAATCCTGCCCTCACCCTCACCCTCACTCCCTGTTATCTGCATCCATTGCTTATGCTTATATGCGTGCATACAAGTCCTTTGATTGTTCTCCCCCCCTTACCCTCACCCTCCCTTACCTACCCTCTGAGGTTTGAGCATCTGATCAATGCTTCTCTGTCTCTAGATCTGTTTTTGTTCATTGGTTTAAGTTGTTCATTATAATCCACAAATGAGTGACATCATGTGATATTTATCTTTCAAGTCTTTTTACATGCTGATAAAAAAATACTTCTGTTTTGAACAGCATTGGAAACATCTGCATTAATAAATGAGTAATATGCAAATTGACCATACCTTTGCAATGCCCACCAGCCAATCAGGAATGAATATGCAAAGTAACCCAACAAAGATGGCAGGTTAAGTTGCATACACAGGTGCCGAGTGGCTGGGGGCAGAGCTGGACAATTGTGTCATCACCATGGCCATGGTGACAAAGCACTAGCCACTCCGGGCCTCTGGGAAGGCATAAAGGTGGCTCTGGCCGGAGCGAAGGCAGTGCTGGCAGCTAGGGGAAGGAAGGCCCATGCATCGGGCCTCTAGTACTTATATAAAGTTTTGTATTCTCTTTTCATTTAATATTCTTTCATGGTGCTTTCTCAAAATTATAACCATTCTTTGAAAACATTTTATTTTATTTTATATTTGTTTCAGGTATACAGTATAGTGGCCAGCCAATTATATAATTTATGCAGTGATCCCCCTGATAATTCTAGTAACCATGTGGCATTATTCATAATTATTACAATATTATTGACTATATTCCCTATGCTGTACTTTATATTTCAGTGACTATTTTGTAACTTCTTATTTCTTCACCTTTTTATCCATACCCCTACCCTCTTTCTATCTGCCAAACCACAGTTTGTTTACTGTATCTATGAGTCTGTTTCTGTTTTTGGAAAACATGTATGTTTTATTTTGTGTGTGTGTTTTTTAAAAATTAATATTTTTTTATTGATTTCAGAGAGAAGAATGTAGTGGGAGAGAGAGATAGAACCATCAGTGATGAGAATCATCAATCAGCTCCCTCCTGCACACCTCCTAATGGGGACTAAGCCCTCAGACTGGGCATGCACCCTGAAGGGGAATTGAACTGTGATCTCCTGGTTCATGAATAGACGCTCAACCACTGAGCGTCATAGGCCAGGAGGAACACATGGTTTTAATGACTATAACATTTAATCAGAAGTAACTTTATCATAATATATTTAATCATTTTTTATTGATAAAGATACTGTTTCTAATTTTTGCCATTATAAAATTGCCCTGCAATTATCAGTTATGTTTAGATTTGATAATTTTCTCTGAATAGGTTCCTAGAAGTAGAACATACTGAGTTAAAAAATATGAATATTTTAGCCCATCTGGTGTGACTCAGTGGTCAAGCATCAGCCCAAGAACCAGGAGGTCACAGTTCAATTCCCAGTCAGGGCACATGCCCTAGTTGTGGGCTCAATCCCTGGTAGGTGGTATGCAAGAGGCGACCAACTGATGTTTCTCATCAATGTTGATGTTTCTATCTATCCCTCTCCCTTCATCTTGCTAAAATCAATAAAAATATATATTTTTAAAAAGTATGAATATTTTAAGATTATATATATTGTAAAATTTTGCATTTTGAAGGGTTGGATCAAATTATATTTCTATTGACTATATATGAATGTACCTATTTTCCCACACACACTTGACAATTGAATATTACCACTTATTTAAAATTGCTGATTTAGAAATCATGCCATTTGTGATAACGTATGCTAAATGAAATAAGTCAGATACTGTATGATCTTGCTTATATGTAGAATTTAAAAACAAAAACAAACCAAGCTAATATATACAGAGAACAGATTGGTTGTCAAGGATGAGGGGAAGGGCAAAATGGGTGAAGAGGTATACAAAAGGTACAAACTTCTAGTTATAAATTAATTAAATAATGGGGATGTAATATACAGCACAATGACTATATTAATAATACTATATTACATAGTTAAAATTGCTAAGATTGCAGAACTTAAAAGTCCTTATTATACAAAACATTTTTTGTACTATGTATGGTGACATGTTAACTAGACTTATTGTGATTATTTCACAATATATATAAATATAGAATTATGTTGTATACCTGAATCTCATATAATGTTATATCTCAGTTATATCTCATTAAAAATGTTGATACTGATGAATACAGGCAATATTTAAATTTTTCAATGAATTTCTTGTGTTCTGAAATGTCTCTTACTATTCTTTACTTATGTTTGTACTGTAATAGTCAGTTTTTTATGAATTCTAAGAATCAGATTTGTGACATTTGCAAAGCAATTAGATTAATATATAGATGTAATGAACATTAGAAATATGAAATAGCAAAAGAAGCTGTTAATGTTTAATACATTCACAATCTATTTTTTATCAGAAGAAATTAGGTCACTTTTTAATTTCAAATTTTTATTTATTTTTGTTTACCATATCAGAAATTACAATCTAAATATCTTGTATTTGATTTTAGCTCCAGCAGATTAGCGGAATTCTGAATGCAATTATGGACTCTCTAGAGTGGCTTAGCCAGAATTCAGGTGGGAGTTTATTTGTATACCAAGCTATTTGTATTGCAAATAGAAAATGTGATACAAGTTAGGTTTTGTGTACCATAAATACACTCAAATAACAATTCATTTATAAGAGTATTACTTAACTCATGGTATGTCTACATTAGTTCTAAAGAACTATAATTGCTTATTTTTATAAAATTAAACAGAATGATAAACTAGAAACTAATGAAAATAGGGGATATATAAAAATGTGGTAGAGGATATAGGGATAGAAGTAGGACTTCTCTGAGTATACGTTTTAATACAGTTTTGACAATTGGGCTATATAAAAGTTTAAATGCTCAAACTTTATAATTAAGCAAAAAATAATGGGAAGAAAAACAAATGTTAAAAATGAATACCAACTGAAACCAAACAGACCTGTATAACTAATTTATAACATTCAGTTCAGATAAATTTTGAACATAGTGTCCCTGATGGTGCATCCTCACTAGGATGTAATCTTTTTAAAAAAAAAACCAAAAAAAAAAACCATATTTTATTGATTTTTTTTTACAGAAAAGAAGGGAGAGGGAGAGAGAGTTAGAAATATCGATAAAGCTGCCTCCTGCACACCCTGTCCTGAGGATGTGGTACACATCCAAGGTACATGCCCTTGACTGGAATTGAACCTGGGACCATTGAGTCTGCAGGCTGATGCTTTATCCACTGAACAAAACCGGTTAGGGCATAGGATGTAATCTTAAAGATAAAAAGAACTGCAAAAAGATCTTAAATGTCTTTAATAGGTTTATTGTAGGTTTCAGAATTATAACACATTATAATATTAGTATTATTTTATATATTTTAGGATAAAGCAAATGCATAAAGTATATCAGTGATAATAGAAACCAAGATTTTTATTTTAAAATAAATTATATATAAAATATTTTCTTTCTTTTATATTTATATTTTAAATTTGTATTATAGTATGAATTCCTATTTTCTTGTTCTGTACATGGAAAGGGCCAAGAAGCAATGACAGATACCCCAGTAGTCATGAGAATATGCAGCACCTGGATCTTGGTTTCTAAATGCCATTCCCATTAAAAGGAATTAAGGCTACTTGGGGAAATATTTGATTTCAGGTCTCAGAAATATTTGATCCCAGAAAACAAACATTATTCAAAGACTAAAGAGGTTATATCAGGACACAAGACTGTGCTTATATAGGCTCCAACTGGCCAAATTAAAATGGTTCAAACATCAAAAAGAATAATGACATGAATGGATTCTATAACACTGGAGTGGGGGTTGGTGTCCATGAGTTCACAGTGACACTCCAAACACAGAGAGAGAAACAGGAGGTACAGGGAAAAGTCTTTATAGAAAACTTGTCTACCTTGACTAATTTATAAAAATTTTCAACTGTCAGTCATTTCTTGGCAGAAAAAAAAATATGCTAGCAGGAAATGGACTATCATAAATATATACTGTAAAAACAGTTTTATTGGTTTAATATAAAACAACATAATTTGCATGCCATAAATTTCACCATTTTTAATTGTACAATATAATGAGAACGTCACCATTTTCCAGCCCCAGCATAATTAATCTAGGCAAGGATCACTAATGAATACTAAAACCATTGAGTTTAGGACTGTTGGGGAACACAATATTTACATGGTATCAGAAGTATCTCTCCAGAGATTACTTTAAAAAGGAGGAAAAGTATAGCTATCTAGCAACTACCACTTTAATCAAGTGATGGAATTTAATATCAGCTATAGTGGGATAATTTAACACTTTGTGTCTCTTGGTAAGAAATACACAATACCACACATGTAGTATTCTTATTAAAAATGTTTAACCTGAATCTAATTCATAAGAAAATATTCAGACATTCTATGTGTGATATATCCTAGAAAGTATGCAGTGTTCTAGTAAAAAAATGTTTAATTGAATCAAATCACAAGAAAATGATAAGTTTATGTGTGAGACATTCTGAAAATAATTGACTTAGACTCTTCAAAAGGCAGTCATGGGAAAAAATTCAAAGCAAAAATATTAAGGAGATTGTTTTAGATGGAAAGAAACAAAATAATCAAGCTTATCATGTTAACTTTGATTAGCTACTGGATAAAAATCAAGAAAACATTATTTAGAATATGTGGGGAAACTAAATATGGAATACATATTAAATGATATTAAGGATTTAAAATTTTTTCCTACGGGTTTTATTGTGTTTATGTAGGAAATTTTTTTTATTCCTAGAACTGAATGCTACATTATTTAGAACAGTGTCATGTTTGTAGTTGTTTTTTCCCAGTTGTTCAGCTAAAACCATTGTGAATAGAAAAAGACTGAGCAATTTCTGGCAAAATAATAACAGTGGGCTAATCTAAATAAAGGGTATACAAGTTTGTTATTTTTAATGTTCTCTCAGATTTTCTATAGATTTAAAATAAAAGTTGGAGGAAATCATGTTTATAAACTTTTGTCTAAATGTACAATTTAATGAAACCTCAGTAATCGAGACAAATGGGGGCTAGCCATTTGGGATTACTATTTTTAAAGACATAGCATGAAAATAGCACAAATTTTCTTATTTCGCATTCTAGATCCTTTATTATCTACATCAATAAAAGTCTTTGATCACTAACTTCTTTTCCTTCATACTTATGTCATCATCCATCTTTCTTTTAAATATATATTTTATTGATTTTTTTACAGAGAGGAAGAGAGATAGTTATAAACATCGATGAGAGAGAATCATCGATCAGCTGCTTCTTGCACACCCCCTACTGAGGATGTGCCTGCAACCAAGGTACATGCCCTTGACCGGAATCGAACCCGGGGCCTTTCAGTCTGCAGGCTTACGCTCTATCCACTGAGCAAAACTGGTTTCGGCTTATCATCCATCTTGACTACCTCCTCTGCTGTATTAGAGGAAGAAATATTCTGTTCCTTTCTAAACTGTTTTTAGTTATCAGAGGGATTTTAAATTCTATATTACTTTGTATTAATTACTTAAATGTGAGAGATTTCTAAATCATCTGGATAGGAGTTCAAGTTAAGGCAATACATCTTTGTTGTTGTTCTTAATCCTCACCCGAGGATTTTTCCATTGATTTTTACAGAGAGTGGAAAGGGAAAGAGAGAAACAACAATGTAAGAGAGACACATCCATTGGTTGCCTCCCACATGAGTCCCCATCAGGGCCAGGCAGAGAATTGAGCCTGCCACTGAGGTACATGCCCTTTGACCGGAATCAAACCCGGGACCCTTCAGTCCACGGGCTAACACTCTATCCACTGAGCCAAACCAGCTAGGCCTAGGGCAAAGCATTACCTCCTAACAATTTTGTGACCTTAACTGGCTATCAGAGTTTACTCTGTGTGTGTGTGTGTGTGTGTGTGTGTGTGTGTGTGTGTGTGTGTGAGAGAGAGAGAGAGAGAGAGAGAGAGAGAGAGAGAGAGAGAGACAGAGAGAGAGAGAGAGAGAGAGAGATTATTTGGTTCAAATGTAGTTATTAAATTGTGTCTAGAGAAGGCAGTTTCAGGTTAATTATCATTGAAAACCACTTAGAGAAATTATAAGAACAGCTAATATATGAGAAACAGTGACTGGAAACACTCAGGAATAAGATTATACAAAGTTTGGCTCAATTGTCTTACTGTCCCATATTTTCCTACAATGAACAATGTGCATTTGGGGGGCAGTGCTAAAATGTAATTCGTGCTGTAAAGAAAGATTATAGTGATTTTTTCCCCTTGGCTGGATCCTCTTTGTCTTAATGAAATCTCAAGGCTCTCAAGCAGTGTTTTCTTAATAATAAAATATTGTTAGCTCTGCAAAGATCTTATTTTCTATAAATAAATAATAATAATAAAAAAAACTGTGTCCCAGAGAGTTTAAATGACTTTATTAAGAACACACAACTAATTAGAGGCAGAGCTAGGACGAGAAATTTCCTAATTACTAGAACAGCATTTTTTCTACTGGTATGTTCTTAAAAGAATTCTATTATGGGCATCACTAGATATAAAAATAAAATTTAGCTGAGACCGGTTTGGCTCAATGGATAGAGCGTCCCGGGTTCGATTCCAGTCAAGGGCATGTACCTTGGTTGCAGGCATATCTCCAGTAGGGGGTGTGCAAGAGGCAGCTGATCGATGATTCTCTCTCATTGATGTTTCTAACTCTCTATCTCTCTCCCTTCTTCTCTGTACAAAATCAATAAAATATATATTTTTTAAAAATTTAATCATATACCTGACAATAGAGGATGAGGGTATGATAATGGTAGTGCATTGGGTGGGATATGAGTTTTAGGTTCTCAGTCAATACAGGGTAAAAAAAAAGACAACAGAGAGTAATAATAAGGAGTTACTTTTATGCTAAAAATTCAATTGAGTTGGAGAAGCAGAGATATCTATAGAGTCAACTGAGACAGGTAGGCCATGCTGAAGAATGGAAAAAGGCCTGGTAATTCTTTTTATTTTTAAAAATATATTTTATTGATTTTTTACAGAGAGGAAGGGAGAGGGATAAAGAGTTAGAAACATGGATGAGAGAGAAACATCCATCAGCTGCCTCCTGCACACTCCCTACTGGGTATGTGCCCGCAACCAAGGAACATGCCCTAGACCTGAAACAAACCTTTGGCAGGCCGATGCTCTATCTACTGAGTCAAACAGGTTAGGGCCATGGTTGGCAAACTGCAGCTCGTGAGCCACATGTGGCTTTTTGGCCCCTTGAGTGTGGCTCTTCCACAAAATACCACTCCTGGGCGAGTCTATTTTGAAGAAGTAGAGTTAGAAGATGTTTAAGTTTAAAAAAATTTGCTCTCAAAAGAAATTTCAATCATTGTACTGTTGATATTTGGCTCTTTTGACTAATGAGTTTGCCGACCACTGGGTAGGGCAAGGCCTGGTAATTCTTGATATGGTGGGCTCCTTTTTGCTGTTCTTACACAGAGAACCATTCCCTTTTATATCAGGAAATGACATGAGCAAGTAATGGAGAGTGGCAGGGTTTAATTA